TAAATATATAAGTATTTTTAAAACTTAATCTAAGTTTAAATACCGAGAATTATCAGTTTAGAAATTAAAACAATATTTATAAACAAATCTTTTTATTACGAATATTTGATTTTCTTTTTAAATGGGCGTCATATAAAATTAATAAATGTATATATTTATATTATCACTAAAGCTTTAAAGACATAAGCGCATATTAATTTTTTATATAATTTGTTTGTTACGCCATTAATAAACAGAATCAAATGTAATATATATTTTTCCAATAATTAAGTTTTTAATAAAAAATTTATTTTGTAATAAATTTATTACATAAATTGATAACTCGTTTGTTTTTAAAATTTAGTTAAACATTCAAATTCAAAAATTAGTGTTGATAGGACATGGCAGCCGGTGTTTTAACTCAAAATAAGTTTTCAAAATAAGTGTGATATTAAAAATTTTTAGCAAACCACTTGGGAATTAGTTCACTTAATTCTCTAAGATATAAAGACAAATTATGCCATTCACTCCGGTAATAAGTACACCCAATTTCTTCATTCAGAATGGTTGTTTAGTATTCACAAATTCATATGTAAAACAAAATCAATGTGTACTATACGTAAAAGAGAAAAATTAACTATATTTTTACAATTAATATGTTTAAAAAAATAAGAAAATAATTCTGCTGTAAAAATACTCTAAAGAATCTTGGTCACTTTTAATATATAATATATATGAACAAGATCCTTTATTTTTTTCTCAGTGAGTGTTTGCAGAAACCCGTTTAAATATCAATAATTGGTCACATTTAATATGTAATATATTTGAACAAGATCCTTTACTTTCTTCTCAGTAAGCATTTGCAGGAAACCGATTAAATATTAATAATTTTGTTATTATTTTCTTAAAATTATAATACAAAAAAACATTATCACTTAACTTTACTTCTCACAGTAAGCCTTGGCCAGCATTTGCTATTTTTCGCCACTATTTTTTCAAATTGTCAATGCAGTGACAACTAGACTGTTTTACCCTGCAGTAGCATACTTTGTTTCTACACATTATACAAGATTTCCTACATAAGCACATTTATATAACAAATAGATTGTTCTAAGTCAGTCGGTCATTTGTAGTATCCTTCTTTCGGGTGCACACGCTAGACCTTCCATGAATACTTTAATTTTTTATATCGTAGTGTCCCTAGTTGAATTCCCTCTGTCTTTGGTTGTGGCTTAAAGATTCATATGGGTCGGTTACCATATATTTCTCTAGGTTACACATATTGTCCAGAATGTAAGAGTAGAATTGAATACGGGATAGAATAACCGTGACTATGGTATTTCTTCTGCTCAGCATGTTTTCTGTTATTATATTGTGTAAAAATTAATAAATAATAAATTATTAAGATAATTAATAATTTAAGAAAAATGACATTCATTTTTACAATTGTAAATTGAACATTTCCAAACAACTCAACAAATGTTATTGCATGGCAAACGCACTCATTGACATTAGTTTATACTGTATAAAGCAGATATTATTACTATATGTATATATTTAGATAACTGAAGCAAACATACAAATAAATGTACTGCAAATTGTAGAATGTCCTTTCTGAACAATCGGAATGAATGAATGACATTTTACATGGATGGTGGGTGGATTAAGAATTGTTTTCAATCAATTACAACTCAACAAATACAAACTGAACTGACCACACACAAGTCCTATAAATAATTTGATTAAATTTTGATATTTTAAAACTTAATATAATATCGACATTGGACAATGTAAGCATTTCAGAACATAGTTCAGAGCCAGCCAAGGACAAGCTGTATAGATACATGCATTTTAATTAATTTCTAATGCAATTATTTTATTTGACAATGACTTCAAAGAGGTGTATTGTGTGTCACTTGAAGCAATTGTTAACATAGGTTATGTAAGGATAAAATCTTACTTATTTGTGTCATTTTATTGTTAAAAAAGTAGTAAACACGAAAATTTCACTTTACTTACTTTGTATTTTGTATAGTTTGTATAGTTTGTATAGTTTCTCTGCTCTTCGCGACATTTAACTTTTAACATAAAAATAAGCAGTTAAATGTACACCTCAAACTCAACTGTAGAGTTGAGTTTGAGCAGTTGATTTTGGACCCTTTTAAGCACTAATTAATCTGATTATCATATATGTGTGTACATAAAATTAAAAAATTTCATTTATTTTTAAGTTTATTTTTTATTTTATAAATGACAATGTCTTTATTAGCTTAGGTAACATGAAATAGTACTGCGGTTACAAAAAACAAAAAAAAAATAATTAAAAAAAGTTATAAAAAACTAAATAAAAATAAATTTAAAAACAAAACTTGCAACATTGAAGGAAGAAAATGATGTTAATGTCTTAAATTACTCTGTAACTTCAATTAATATGAAGATATATACTAACGCAGATACTTACGGGTATGAGCATGTATCTATGTACGAGTAAAGATTCGTTGGTAAAGTGATGCTAATGCATGTTATTTTAGCGGCAATATTTGAAGCGCTATTAAATAAAGTTTATAAGACAAGCTAGGTTTACTGTTTATGTGTCTAAATAAAATCTAGAAGATAAAATTCTTTGTGCGCTTCATTAAGACTGTAAAGAACGTAGTTAAGTCAGTGGTAAAGTTTCAAGCGCTTAATTAAGATACCGTAGCCAAATTTATGATAGAATCTAGGTACATACTATGATGTTAATTTCACACAAATTAGAATAGACTTTGAGTTAAAATAAAAATTTTATTATAAATAAAAATAATATAAGTTAACAGTTTGGTAATCCAACTTTTTATGTGCATATGAATCTTGATGGACTATGTTCCATCAAGGAATAATTATTTTAATTATATGTAATTATTAATATAATATATTACAGTTAAATCATTACACAAAAACATGTAAATACAGTCAAACTTCCAAACTTCTACTTTATCTTATTTCTATTTTATAAATTTATAAAAACATTGCCTCAGTTGAATATGTTACTAACTTCATTAATATATAAACTATTACGACTTGGATATCATCTATTTTAAAAACATGATTAATATTTATTAGTTCGATTTCTAATAAACAACTTCATATGAATCAAAAAAGTAGTTTCAAAATATTTGAAAAATTTTGCTCTTTATTTATTATTAATACTGTATTTTCGCATGCAAAATATAAACGGATTCCTATCAACAAGTAAACAAATTATTAGAAGAGATATAATGACATAAAAGAAGAAACTTCATATACAAAGTTCTTATAGAATATTCTTTTTAAAAATAAAGGTGTGATTTTATTAAATAATAATGCTCAATATTATGACTCAGTTCTCTAGATTCTGTAGAAAACTATTATTTATTCATAACAGTATTATTATAAAGTTATAATAGTAATAATAGTAATAATAATATTTTTGGAGCACCGCATTTGATGCTAAATCTAGCAATAATGATATTATAAGGGTTGTTCGGATTACCGAAAAGTCTGAATTATTATTATATTTTTATTTTTACTAAAAATGTAATAATAATTTTGTTTTTTTTACGTGCTAATTGGTCAATAGTTAAATAATAAACTTTTTAAAAAATTTTTATTTGTTTTTAAAAGATTTTATTTTAACCGATATTGCGACTATAATCTATAGTCATCATCAGGGTAGTATAAAATTACCCTGATTGCATTAAAAAATTGATTTGAATTGATTTAACGGTTGAGTTTGATTTCTTTTTCCTTCCAAGATTTTATGAATAACTGGGTTCCGGATATCATTTTTGTTTAAAACCCTTTTGATGTTGTTTCTGACCTCACCACCTCGTGGAAAATTGGATCGCTTAATTCTAATTTGTGTCTCAATTTAAATATTCAAAATATTTCTTGACCACTTTATAATAAAGTTCTACATCTTTAGGACCTGCTATAGGCAGCCGTTTATAAACATATTAATCTTTCTTATAATATCGTGTTTGACTGCTTTTAAAAATTTTAAAAATATATAAAAGTTTTAACTAAATGATAACAATCACCATTCGTAAATAATTGAACAGAGTTTAAAGTTCAGCAAGTATATAATATATAAGTAATAATAAATATAAAACTATGATTATAAATTACTTATATTAATTAATAATAAGACACTACTTAACTATTTACTGACATACATAACAAAATATCACATTAATGAAGCAAAACATGGCATTATTTAATGCATTAGATAGTTTAGATAGTTTAAATGGCTTCTAATTGGTGGTTATAAAGTAGCAGATTCAAAACTCTGTAATAAATAATACTTAATCATTTCTTGTATGGCAAGCGCGTTATTAAAAATGTGCAACTAGAGTCTTACAAAATTCTTCTTTAGCACACATCCATAATAAAAAATCTAATTTTAAGCAACATTTCAATTGGATATTTCCATATCAGTGCGCACAGCCAATCAAAACGCCGTACTGATACCCGCTTGAGTATGATAAATTTATTTCTCGTACTGTACAATCGAAGCACTCAATGCAGTGCGAACTGCGAACCATAAGAAAAAACTTTTTTATATATTTTTATTATATTTTTTTTTAAACTCATTTGAAGTAATTTTTTGAAATTTAATTATAATTATGTAAAGTCACATATGTTATTATGTACGTGGTTTAAAAAAATGAAGCTTAAAATATTTATTTTATCTAAATTCACTAAATAAACTTGAACCTTTTAACATCAAACAATTTTCCAAAGCAAATAGAAAAACTATTTCATACATTGAAGCAAAATTGAATTTTATTAAATTTAATTTCCTTTCATCGGAAGTTTACCCAAATAGATACTATTTTGCTCTGAGTAATATTTGCTGATGTTATAGGTGATTGCATATGAAAATTGATTAAAATATTTTCTGAATAGATTTTGTGGCTTCAGTTTCTATTATGTTGTGTGCTTGCATCGAACCCAGAAAGTAACTCATTTTTAATTCAATAAATTTTAATCCTTTTTTGCAGAGACGCTGAATAAATGATGCAGCTTCGTACTGATAAAACATAATAGAGGTTAAGAGGATATTTTCAGGTAAGTGAAGTTTGATATTAAAATTGTATGCGATTTTTAATTTTTACACATAAAAGAGTATCTTTTGTATTTATATAATTAAATGCTAACAAATAAATATATTTACTTATATGTTTTTAAAAAAAATGCATTAAGGGAAAAACCCTATTGTTGCATCATCTTAAAACTAACTTAAAAACTAACAAAAAGCAGTTAAATAATATATACACAATCCCCTAGTTTACATATTATTAAATAGTAAAAATTATAAAAAACAAAAATTAAATCAAAAATAAAAATTTAGGATTAAGAACTTAAAACAGATAATTAAATATTCCAAACAAAAAGATATCAAAAAAAAAATTACAATTAAAAAATAACAATGACAAAATTAAATATAATATTACAGCTACATATTAAAATATATTAATAATAGTGCTTTTAGAGCAACTGCTTAATTTTCTGTATTTAAAAATTACTTACCAACAAAATGCTGAATTGTCCATTTAGATCACGTACTGTCAATTACTTTTATTGCGAGGATAACTCCTTCAGATATAATATCAAACGAAACTGTAATGTTTATTAAACACTCTGCGAAGAAGAATTGCCAAATATTTGTTGGGTTTTGGTTCTCCATTGAATAACATGTGCCGGGACACCTTTTGAACACACATATTTGTTGCTAACCAATTAGCATTTCTGTGTCAAACCACAAATCAAATATCAGTTCCTACATAAGTAACTCAGACTCACTGGACTCATTTTATCACCATTGAAGTCTCATTACCCTAATTTTGTTAATAAAAGCCGGCTTCTTATTAATTAACATGCCAACCACTAAACCAGGTAAAACGCATTTAAATAATACTGGTCTTATTACTATTTACAATACAATTTAGTATTGAATTAAAATGGTTTCTTAGGCATAAACATTTAGGATGAACTTTTTTCCACAAATTCATTAATCAGAGTTTCGGTTTTCAATTTCACTTATAGTAGGTTTACGAGATTTTTATCGCTGTCGACTATCTATATTAGATGACAAAATATACACTTTTTTTTTCTACTAGAACTTGTCATTTATGCTTCCACTCACAGTCAGTTCTCATTTATGAAAATCAAAAGTTAGATTAACCCGTGATCTAGCTTAACTTGACACTTCAACCTTTCTTTGTAGAGTTAATCTAACCTACATTAAATTGAAACCAAAATTGAATATTATAACTGAAACTAGTCTTTTCGCATAATATTATAACTTTATATTCGATTCTTTTGATAAGCAAAGCCTTTTATAGACATCCAATTTTATTAATATTCAAACTTAATTTTCTTGGTTTCACCAAAAAGTCACGGTATAGAATCTGATTTGATAAATCAAATAATAACCGAGTATAATGTCAGTTAAAAAACTTACACACAATTACAATAACATAGGTTAACTCCTATCATCGACTTTTTAGTAATATATGTATGTACATGGTTTATATTATATAATGTTTGAAATCTTCTTCCCAGCATTACAAATATCTTGTCGAAGTTATTTTAACAGTTATTAATAATGGTGTGAAGATTTAAAATACACCTATGTAGTTAAAGAAATTACTTTTAATGTCTTTAACTTAAAAACTTTTTAGAAAGGACGTCTTTTATTTTAATACAAAAAATGAATTCAATTTAAAGTTCTATATTCTCATATCGAAAAGGTTAAAAAAATTCTCAATGAAGACAGATCAATCTACTGCTTACAACATATTTTAATTTTTGTAGCAGTTTTTCTTTTAAAGAATTAAAAAAAGTTATTCAAAATAGACAAAACAACCGCTTCAAATCTCCTAAACTAGATCGCATATTACAGATAGAGGCGTGCCTCCAACTAACGAAACCTCTTTCCCAACAATAATTCGAAGCTTTCCGAACACAAGAGCAAAGACTTTCAGGTTGCAAGTTGCCTGGAGCAGATGATATAAATTATAGTGCAGTGTGCAATATTGCAATTGCAATAATATGCGCGCCGTCGCAATAAGCGTTCTACAAACATGAATTGTACTGCACTTCCCTGCTTTGGTAATACATCTATCTGCAACAACAATAGTAACATGTTGCACAAGTTCAACAGATACTCGTACATAGAGCAACAGCAGTGTAAACCGCTATAAAAAGGTGGTTATTTCATATTTTTTCCCTCTTATTAACTTATTTATTTTTAAGGCCAACATATGATCCTCACAATGAACGACTTTTGTTTAAAATTAAAAACAGAAAAAGCAAATATAAAAAATATATACAATAAATATATAAAAGAAGTAAATACAGTAAAATACAGTGGATGCCGCAACATCTAACTACAAATGTTAGATTTAAAATGTTTTACTATTATTTATTAAAAAAGATACAAAAGTATCTACAGTACTACAAACCATCGCTTCGTACCGCGTGTGGTTTGTTTTAACTGCAAAATCAAAACTCATATCAACGCGTTTGCAAGCCATTATGCAGTTATATTACCAATTTTTTACAATGGCAACACCAACAATAAATATTAATTGCTGTAAGTGTTGCTATTCACGTGTCTTGCAATCTACTATTAGTTAAAGAATTCTTTTGATGTAAATATATGTACTGTCCTTAAGATAACGCTTCGCAAAAAGTTTGCCGTAAAAAAGAAAATAATTTAATGTAGAATTGGGAGTGTCTCTCATTCATGCATTGTATCTGCAATCATCTGCGTGCAAATATTTATACATTAATAAAATATTAATGGATTTAATGGTGAATTTCTACTCATTGCTTTGAATTATTTATGGCACTTTGAGTAGAGCGTCTTCACTAATAACAGCAAAAGAAAAGAGGAGTTTCCGGATATTTAACCGATATTGCAAAAATGCGTTACTTATATTGGATTATTTTGCGATGCTTTTTATATGATATACTATTATATATAAAAGTATATGATTAGACAAAGTTTTGTTAAAAACTAGATTTACTAGATTTATATTTTTAGTCTTAGCAATCTTTTCCTCTTATCTGCCTTTAATTATAGGGATAGAATTATTTTAATCCACCTCATTTCTTTCTTTGTGCACTTTTGAATTTAGTAGCGCCACCTACTTCTCATATTAATTATATATCTAGTTCCATAACTTCAAATAATTATGCCTGGAGTAGTATATCAAGTTTATCAAAATTTTTGTCATAAAGAAGATACCAAAGTCTTCTTCAAACAGTACAACATCAAATGTTTAAAATAAAAAATAATACACAATATACACAATATAAAATAAACTATATATTGTGTAACATATCATATAGGCCGTGTGCAAGTTCAAGTAAATTGAGGTAAAGTTAATAGACATTTCCTTGGGGTTTTTTGCACTGCACTTATTTATTGCACTCATTTATTATTTCTCTTTTAAAAATTTTCAAATTTATTTATTTATTAAACATCTTATAAAATTTTTAATTTTTACCTAATTTACTCTACTCGAAATTCTGGTAAATACCAACATTCGCTGCCATACCGACATAATTTTCTATTTCTTTCAATTTACTGAAACCCGCACACGGTTATAGTATTTGTATAAAACATTCATTTCAATATAAGGATACTATCTTATTTACAGATATATTTAATTTGCATATATATTTGTGCAAATAGTGAGATAGAAAATATCTATGGATTTTAGCAGATTAAGATATGAATTTTGTTCCCATACAAATAAACTATTTAAACACAAGTCCCTCTCTACGCCTTGACTGGATTATTGTTTATCAGTTCATCAGACTAAGCCATAATTGACCTCAAATCTGCATACCTCTGAGGAGTCTGTGACCGAAACATAACACATCAATATATTTTGCAAAAATATAGGCGTATTCATCATACCGTAATCGAAATAATTTTTTAAGTGAAATTATGAAGTAAAATTTTGAGATGATAAAAATACTTATAAAGATAAGAAATTAATATTCTTTGAATATTCTTTGAAGGTATAACAAGTTTCTTTTGATATATCTACGGTTCGTGTTTTAATATAGAAATATGAATTCCAGTTATATAGATTCGATATGACATCGTGGTCTTCTAATTTTTAATTTTTTTTTAATTTAAACGATGTACATCTCCAACTCTGTTAAATATTTATTAATTGGACACTGCTTGACTAAGAAGTAAACTTGTGAATGTGAATCAGCGCTTTGACTTAGATTTATATTAGTTTTTAATATATTTCATCAACTTTTTGAGCACAAATGCAGTAAATTCCACATAGATCTTTAATGATTATTCACAATTCTTATTAAAAAATAATTTTGAGGAATGTATTTCTGATGAGTAAGATGTTAATCGGACATTCAACGTCAGCCAACTTTTAATGTCTAAAACGGTTGTTCTGCCAAAAAGGGTAGAGTAATTTCATACAAACATAAAAAAATTTGGTTTTATAATAATTATACTGCACAAAAGCTTCCGTAAGAAGAGTTTTCACTGTATTATTACCTTCAGAAAATTAAAAATTCATTCACTAAAAACTTACTTGAATTCTTTATAATAACAATCTTTGTATGATAATGACATTTTTTGCATGATAATGACTGACTGACTATATTAAAGAAAATAAAAATGGCGTTGCTCATTTTGTTTAAATGCATTTTTATAACTCAAACATACACATGTGTCTATATATTTTCTTCTATATTGTAGATTCATAATAAAGATATGCATAAACATACCTTGTGTGTACGTTATTTATATGTCTGAATGTATGTTGACAGTTGGCGTATTGACATTTGCAAGTCAAATTCCAAAATAAAAAATTCAAAAAATACTTAAACACTTAAAAAATGCCTTCAAAATAATTTGCTCACACTGTAAGCACACATAATATATATACATTTTATTTTTTTACTAATTCGTGGACTTTGAACTTATTATTGAAGTTATTTTTAATGAAATTCAAAAAAAAAATAATGGTAAATTACTTAAGAAAATGCTTGTAAGGAAATTTATTTTCATTTACATT